TGCTACTGTAAATACATAATGTACAGTAGCTATGCATTTACAGAAGTCTACAATGTGCTCTGTGCGTGCGCGTGACTGTTTGTGTTAGGGTTGTGGTCTTGATATGTTGTTTTTCAGTCTTGAGATACAAGTTGCAGGGAGGGGGGGTGGGAGTGCAGGTGGGATGATAGTGATGTGGTCTAGGCTATCAGGTCTTTTGTTCCAAATTTGGTGCAGTGCATCAAAATGCCTTTGCCTTCTTGTAGCAGCACACACACAGACTCTAACATGCAATTGTTTGACCTACATCATATTCCTATGTTCCTTTCTAATGCAACCTGAATTGAATCCTTTTTAATGTAAATTATTCTGCATAGAACCACCGAAACCTAGACCCTGTATTTTGGGTTTAGCAGATGTGTGTCAAAAGATGTTTAACCTCTAATGTTTGAAAAGTTAATTCTAATGTAATTTGATTTGTGTACTGGACTGTATTTTGGACTGTATTTTTTTTTTATATAGCGCTTTCTCACAGTGTGTTGCACTGGCCAAAGCGCTTTACAGAGATGATACACCATTCACCCATTCACACACAACATTCACACACTGATGACGACAAGCTGCCATGCACCGGCGCTAGTCAAGCCACCAGGAGCAATTCGGGGTTCAGTGTCTTGCTCAGGGACACTTAGGCATGCGGGGAGACCGGGAGTCGAACCACCAACTTGCTGGTCAGGAGACGACTGCCCTACCTCATGAGCCACAGCCACCCCTGTGTAGATAGGCATTCAGTAAAAGGATCCTTTGTTTGGCAAACCTCAGTGCCCCTTGCGGTCCGATTGCATCAGGAAACAGCTTGAAGCACAAACTATCACACTACACCTCATATCCACCTGCCCATGGTAACCTGATTTTTTTGGTCACATGGTTTCCATGGTAACAGAGCAATAGTCTTGACAGGCAATGAGGAGGGTTGTATAAGCAGTCTACTACATTACACTACTGCACACTTCACCACACACATATGCTCACAGTTTGTGATGTCATTTCAGGTATGAAATTGGATTTGTTTTCTGAGAAAAGAGTTGATGGGGACTGATATTCAGGCAGCAGTCGGGATGTTCCAGGAGCATCGGATGTCTGACAAAAAACTGGCACTGTTGGCTGACATTTTGAAAACTACTTGAAAGAAGTAGATGTGCAATTACACAAGGTATGACAGTCTGAAAACAGATCTGCTGAACAATAAATAATAAATCAACCTCCAACACTCCAAGTTTCAGAGATGAAATACAAATATTTTGACTGTTTTGTATTAAAATTGTTTCTTCTGTAAAATAATAAATAATCTTGACATTTCTGACACGGTACAATAAACTATGCAGTTTTGGGTTTGATAAAAAAAAAAAAAACAAGATGATTTTCATAAGATTATGAAATGAAAACAGATTTCAGTTTATGATTTACATTTAAGAAAAAAAATCAAAGTTTGTAATTGTAGATATGTAGGTAAAATATTAATTTTATACATTTAAAATTAAACCTACAATACGACAAAGTCTGCAGAACATGGTGTTGGAATACAATGGTCAGATTAGTTTGCTTGGACTCAGAAGTATCTGATTCACACAAATTACCTGAAATGAAATTCACTTGTTTAGCAGGAATTAGATCAATGATGATCTAATGGCAGCTGGGAGGCACAGTAGCCAATATCTGCTAAATCAAAACTCTCACAGTGTATCACAGGAAATTGCTTTTGATAGCATATTGTAGCCTATGTGACTGATTATCATTATTTATTACTATTTTCATATCCCCAGTAATCTCAGCCCTATCCAGCCTTCTTCAGCACATAGTTTGACCTGTCCTAGCAGGACACACACAGGTGTAACTAATCACATTCATTACATCTCCATTACATTCAGGTGGCCCATTAAGTTTGCAAACATGTCCTGGAACCTGGATGTTAGTTAGGTAGTAAATTAAGCATTATTTAAACAGGAAGTCTCATTGAGAGCTTTTTAAATTTAACCAAAATCCCCTGAGGTTAGGAACCTAGTAACCTCTTTTACAAGCTTCCCAACCCCCCACCTCCCCAAAAAGACAACATTATATAAGATCTTTAAAAGCTAAGAACAATGGTGACTATAAAATAGTTATCAGTGCCAGGAACTAAAAGGGTTAGAAACAAAAACAGTCAGGTAAAGAATCACTCCCCACTGAATTTACAGTAGCTTTAAACTCAGTCAAAGACACCGAATTGAAATTTCCCTCTGCAAATTATTCCAGGAGCAGAAAACATGAAAGCTTTCTTTTATATCTCTGTCTGATCACTTGAGACAGACAGGCAGCAGATATGTGTCTTTTGATCTTAGATTATTATCTAGCTCTTTTTGCAAGAACAAATGACATATATATGCAAATTATATACAGCTCATTCAGCCCAAACCATCACACATACATACACAACACTAAACAATCATTGTTAGCAATATTAGTTTTAAAGACTGTCAGAGGACTGAGTGTCTCTAATGTCAAGCTGTGTTGCAGCTCATTCCAGTAGTGAGGGGGGGTAGTGCCTGAGACCAGTCCTCCCCAGTGCAGAGTTGATATGAGGAACGTTTGCAGCCAGTCTCTCCTCTGATCCAGTGTCACGATTGAGCTCTGAACTCAACTACAGATGTTAAATAGCTCAGCAGCTTAGCTAGCAAGGCGTCACAGGTGAACACACAGGTTTTATCATGCCTTCTAGATGTGGCACAGCTAAATGAAATGCAGCCATAGTCTATGTTATTATTACACCTGCCTGTTTCTTGCTATAAGATGCCAAAAAGCTACTGAGAAAATGATTCATTCTCCACCTGACTTGTTTCTTTGCTTTTTCCTGAGCAACTTACTGGAAAGAAAAACAAAAAAACCATATTGCTGGTACTGTATGGAATTCCCCATTCAAAGTCAAATTCACTCACAGTACATACTGTACCCATCCTAATTACCCAACATCCACTGTCCAACACAGATTATATAAACAACCCATGCTACAGAACTAAGTCAGATGGCCATTCACTGTATCTCTAATTTCACTGTGATCAACCCATCTTTTTGCTCAATATTCATGGTTGTGTTTTAGTAAATAATACACTGTATAGACACAAAAATACATACACTGTAGCATGGGGTCTACTATTTTGTGTTCAAATGTGTATCAACTGTTGACATAGGCCTATATACAATGGACATGGCGTCTCCATTTCCTTCATGATGCAGAAATGAAGCCAAAGTATTGTGAATGTGGTGGCTGCCATCTTAGAGACCAGACGCAGAATGACAGCATCAGACCGCCAAAGCTGGCAAATCAACCAAAATACACCCCTTTTTATATCGTCAAATTATTGTAATTATATTAATAATAGAATTGTATTATAGCATCAAATTCTTAATTACTGTACAATTATTCATTATACCTAATTTTAATATATCATAAAATAACTTGTTAAAACTAACTTACCAGAAAAATGACCACTTGTACACAAATCACTGTGATATCATCTACCAAAAACCACAGAAGTGACCTCTGGGAAAAATGCATCGGATTTGTACTTTTAATTTGGCTCATGTCCCATCCACTTCTGGGAGCTGTTATGACGTCCATGTTTCATACAGTCAGTGGTATCAACATATGTAGAAGAAACTTCCTTTAAGGACCATAAGATAAACATAACAAGCATTAGTTAAGATAGTACTGATCTATTTTGTCTTCCAGGCTTCAGGACTAACTTTCTCAGTGAAAAATGCTTCAACTAAGACATTTTCACAGTTGTTTAGAATAATAAAATCACAAATGTTTATACAGTTACAATAAAGTTGTAGAGTTGATTGGAGCTGAGGACAGAATATTTCTTCATACAGGATTTTACCTTCAGGTAAAATCATAAATTGTCTAGTTTGAGTATTTTTCTGCAACACATCTGGTATCTTTTAGCCCAAAGGCTTACTTATCATTATTATGTAATGTGAAGTGTAACCATTTTATTATTGCCCTATCTGCTGTTTGTAAGTTTAATGAATAAATGCAAGTAAAATGGGAAAATGATATTTGGCCTATGATACTTGTCAGTAAATCACTGTTAAATATCTGAAGATGAACAACCCAGGGTTGTACATGTTTAATATTATACACGAATCTCAGTGAGTGTTGTAGACACACAACCATTCTCACAGTGACACAAGTCAAGTACTGTGATCAAGACAATGAAAAATAAAAATATTACACTCTGAAGTGGGAATATCGCTATCTTGTTCAGTAGGATAATCTGTATTAGGGACAATTTTGTCATTTAAATTAAGTGATATAAAGATATAGATTAAGAGTGCATAGAAATCCCAGCAAGAGAGTCTGTAATTCCATTGTCGTTGAGGCCTCTGGAGAACATGTGGTTCCTTGGTTGAGACAGCTCCCTCTGCCTCTCATACATGACGACGTATGACCTAATCAGATCCTCTATTGTTTGAGCCTAAAAAAGGAGGATATGGATGTCTTTGTCAGAAAATATTTCATTTCATTTCAAAGTCACTACTCTCAATGGGCTCATTAGCTGCATAGACAGCCTGAGTTATGCAACAATGTGCAGGGGCTTCCTCTGCAAGAAGTACTTTGACTTAAAAACATTAACTTGCAAAAGCAGGTTACGCACCTGTGAGGTTTCACAGACAAAGCTGTTTCCCCTCAGTGGGGTTCTGATGGTCATCTGGAAGAAGCTGCCATGGCTGTGGTACTCCATGATGTTTTTGAATAGGTGCATGACAAGCACTTCCTAAAAGGTTTACAGAATGATTCAGTGACTTTAAATTGTAATGGTCTGTTACCAACAAGCCTCATTAGGATAGAAAAAAAAATCCAATAAACTGAGAGGAAATATGACTTCACTTTGTGTAACAGATACAATATGTACATAATGTACACAATATGAGACTAATTGTTGTACATACCTTTGTTGCTGGGTCTATTAGGCTGACACCATTTTTGCTGATGGCAATCAAAACTCTGTTTGGGTAGCTAGACTCATACGTTTGCTGCAAATGAAATCATACGTAATATGACAAAACGATGGCATCATATTGGATGTTTACAAACTTTGCTTTCACTTGATCCTGATAACTCACTTTAACTTCAAAGAAGGTGCAGCCAAAGGTCGGCCAACTTGAAATGGCCTTCAGGAAGGCAGTTTTGGCCTCCTGCACTGTGATACCACTCTGCTTGTTGTAGGACGAGATGATGTGCTGCAAAGAGTAGAAACACACACACACACAAAGAAAAAAAAACACGAGAAAAACACTCAGTGGATGTCGCTTACACTAGATGCAATCATGTGAAATTCAGCATCCTCATTCAAACATCCTTTTCCATTTTTATGAATCTGCACCGGTGATAGTTGCGGCTGGAAGCATTATATTTTCAGGTTGTCTGTCCAGCTCATTCCTGTGAATGCGATATGACAGGATGCCTTGAGGGAATTTCTTCAAATCTGACACAAATATCCACTTGGATTCATAGATGAACTGATTAGATTTTGGTGGTCAAAAGTCAGGGTCAGTGACCTCACATCTGTCCCATTCCTGTGAATTTGACTGGTTGGTGGAGGAATAAATTAATTCTCATTATACACAATATGACAGCATCAACATGTCAGACTGCTTTCCTTTACCTTCTTCCATTCTTCTGATGACATGATTTTTATCTGGTCAGTAGGAACCAGCTCCCTCAGCATTCTGGGAATCATGACAAACTGTGACCTGTCTGAATCTACTTTGACTCTGAACAGCAGTCCACCCAAGATGATCAAGTCCTCTTTGGTGCAATTGTGGTATCCCCGCAGGTACTTCGGCAGCTCCTACATGGTAGCAGATGCGCAAACTCAGGTCATGGCAATTCCGCATGTGGAACATGAGCACAAGGAAGAGTGTGTTGTGGGTTGGATATTATACCTGTGGGAAATGGAAGATGAGGTCTGCGACCTGGTCTTTTCCTGGGGTCATATTGAACCAGAGCTTCCTCTTAAAGATCACCAGGTAGGGCATGTTGGCCTGGTTGCCTGGGAAACAATAAATATATATAAATATGGAGATGCACTGACATATAAAAACTGAAGTGCCATTATGATACATTACCTTCTTTCACTCTTTTCGCTTTCTTAGGGAAGTCTGACGTCTGCCGTAAACTGTCAAAGAAATATTTCTGCTCATCCAAGCTCATGACCTGAGAATTATTAAGAGAACTTCAAAATATTGAATGGGAAATAAATATGTGGATGTTTGGTATCCTAGTCAGTATTTATTTAGATGTAGAGTAATGGCTTTATGGTCTCAAATGTTTGTTTTTAAAACAAAATGAGTCATTTGTTGTTACAAACCAACCCACAAAATGTCTCCCCTGTCAGATTACAATGAAACTAATGGCTTCAAAATAGGAATCAACAAACGACAAACGTTTGTGGAAAAGATCACCCAACCCCACCTTGTTAGGTGTTTTCAGGTACAGGCCATATCCATCAGCAAAGCTCAGTTTGAGTTGAGAGGCGATGCTGCAACACAGGTCTTTGATTGTGGTCGTTGATGTCACCTCGAATATCTGCACAACAGCATGAACAGTCAATACAGGAAATCAAGACAACGTACAAATGTTCTGAATCATTATACTGAATCTGTCAGAAGCAATGCTGGTTAATATCTGTGTGGTAGTCTAGAGACAGAGAATGTGCTGCACTGGACATCTTTTTGTGTCTTACATCATCTGTGTCATTTGGGAAGTGGACTTTATGAAAGATCTGGGTGCTGTTCTGTTGGATGGCATCCACTTCGACCACATGGGGAGGAAACATCCGGGGCTCCTTACTGAGGGTGAAAAAATTATTTAGATACATTTATTTTACAAGCACACCTTAAATAATCCACATACCTGAAATAATGTAAAACAGTGCAAACTACAGTATGTTGAATTGTGGGGATAATCTTTTCTTTTGATGCGTTCTGACTTTCGTCTGTAGCCATGATCAAATTAATTCCCCTAAAAAGCAAAATAAAAATAATGTCCAGAGCTGCAAGAACTGTTGATTATTTAATTACAAACACACACACAATCAGATCAGCAACTCTTTAATTATATTTCACAATTAGGCTTTCAGTTGCTGCTCAAATTAAAATCAGTGTGGCCATTTTTACTGCCATACATATTATTAATATTGTGGAACATTTGTCCCACATGTTTCAACTACACATGTAAACTATGACTTTTACACCGAACTCAAGGCCTTCAGGCTTTATGGCTGCACCACTCCATCAAATTAATACATTTTCTGGATGTCCTGTTCATGTCTTTGGACACATTTCCTGACATTTTTGGTATTTTTCAGGATTTTAACTTCTTTTCGCCAATTCTACACATGAAGTACACTGTAATTATTCAGTGTGAGAAGTACTACTTCACTTAAACAGTGAAAACTGCTGTATAATAGCTCCTGTGGCTCTGTTTGAAAAAATTTAACTAAGGATGCTACAAAGTTGCATCGTGGGATCGTAGGATGAAGCATTTTTCCATTTTTGCTAAACAGGAGAGACTAAAAGCCAGAATATTGTGGAATCTACTCTCAGTTTCAACTCTTCTTGTAGCACAATTTTAAGTACAATACTACAGTTTTCGAATATCCATTTAAAATGATACAAAGACTAAAAAGAGACATTTTATTGCAATTTAGCCAGTCAGTTATATAGAATTATTATGACCTAAATATGGGAAACAAATTTTTTAAATTGGGTATGTACCTAAATCAAGATGTAGATGTGATTTCAGTTAACCCATGCATCTTTACATTGATACTGAAATCATTTTTTGCGCTTTTTGTCTTAGTATTTTACAAATACACCATTTCGACAACACTGTATGTTATGTCTCCAATAGGTTATGATTTTCCAAATGTCATTCCACATACTTGACTTAACAACCAGTAACCACAACCTTGTACACGATGTGATCTATTTTTTTCTCATCTTTGTTCCTGTCTCCAGCCTGACCTGCACATCTCCTGCAGCTTCTGTAGGCACACGGCAGCCAGCGGGTCCCTGGGCCGTGACTCCAGGAAGTGCCGAGTGTGTCTCATCAAGTTGGAACTGGGCGGGAACAGGCCTGAACACAGCCACATCAGCTGCCACCCACGCTCCATACTCAACCTGAGAGCAACATGCAGAGCAAAAAAAAGAAAGTAAGATTGGATATGTTGGTTGTAGATTTTGTGTATTCTTCAAAAAACAGAAATAGACACTGAGGGAAGCACCTGTTGTTGTTGCTGGTCATCTGTCTCATAATCTGGCAGTAGATCTCATCCTGCAGAGCTTTATGCTGGGTGGCTGGACCAAAGATCTGGTCAGTCAGCTCTACAGGACTGCGAATGTTTTTAATGGGGTAGTCGCCCATGTACTTCAGGATAGGTAGCAGCTTAGGTCAAGGACACTAATTGTGGCTATGTCATAATAAAATATCTCAGTATCCTCAAATGCAAAAAGCATGTGTGTAACAAACTGTAAAATTACCATAATCTGAAAAAGGCAAGCACTGATCTCAAGGATATCAATGTAGGCATTGCAGGCTAAATAGCTGAGGTCAGAGTTGCGGACCAGACTCTTCAACAGTGGCTGTTTGAGAGGTTCTTTGGAACAAGCCCACAGCTTCTCCTTGCCCACTCCTTTGAATGCACCCTGACGACCCACATTACCTGGAGCCCTGTGACAGGGAGGAAACAGTGGGACCATATGCTTCAAGTATTTTTTGAACTTTACGTTATTAAAACCAACCTAACATTCATGTAATTACACATGCGTGTCAATATAAATTATAGCCAAGTGTAGCGGATTAAGAATATTGTATGAGGGCTGTGTTTAAATATGGTCAGCATCACCATCAACAATACAAATGAAATCTAGAATTCAAAATTGTTAGATTAATATTCAGTCAATAATACACAATTAAATGTGCCAAAGAGGAATGGCAGAGCATTCATATGGAAGCTCAGTATATGAGTTAAATGATGTTTTTTTAAACCCATAATTTGGCCCCAAAGAGGAGGGTGTCAGGCCATGCTGTCAAAAATCTTCAGAGCCCCACAATAAGCAGACCTACCTCTAACACAAAGCATCCCTGAACCCTATCCTCCCCCAAGCAAAGAGCAGATATGTGGCTTGACACACAGCATCTGCATTGTATTTGCAGAAGCCTCACTTCTCCTGCAACCCATCTAGATGCCCTAATAATAACATCCATTGCCACAGTAAACACTAGCGGTGAGATTGTGCTACAGATGTGATATTACCTGAAGTTCTCTTGTGCAAACTCTTTCAAAGAGACAGGAGCCACTGTCTCTGGTGGTCGGGAGTTCTCTTGGGTTGAAGTCTTCTTTGTGCGTGGCCTGAGCAGGTCCTAAAGGGTCGGAGGCAGTTCATAGTTACTCCACAAGGGGGACTCATGTGAACATGATACTTTTTGGATCCCTGCTGCATAGACCTGAATAATTCCATAGTCTTGAAAATAATCAATTTGGTGAATATCATGTATACTGTTGCTTTCTGTAAACACAACAGTTGAATTTATAGGCCGTATTTATATACAATGTGTATATGAATCAGACGACCTAACCCATTTTTAAAATCTTCTAATGGTGTGTATCACATGCTTATACTATTTATTTACAGCATACACTGAAAATTTCTTTCTGTCTCCTACTTCTTTTATAAAACATGTTACTGTCTTGAGACGTGAAAGTAACTCTACCAGCACTTCTTCAGTGGGCCTAGTGAGAGTGGGCAGATACTGCACTGTATCCTTATAGATTGAACCAGTGCTGCTGGTCCGCTGGTTAGTAGCTGTGATCAAGTTCTCCTCAGGGGAATATGGTCCATCTTTCTCCACCAGCAGCAGGTCACCTTGTTTACAAATCAGGAACCTGGGGTCATCTGTAGAAAGAGAGAGAAAGAGACAGGTTGTTTTTTTATCCTGTGTGTATAGACAAACATTCATGCACTTGATGCATTTTTGAGTTTACGCTGTCTTGTGATGTGTGATGGTGGATGTGAGCTCACAATCCAAAACTGCTCATGCTGTAAACTTACTGGCATCCTGTTGAACTAGTGCATACACTGACCGCTGCCTCAGGCCTTCCAGGTTGGTTTCTATAAGTGCAGCCATTTCTGCAGCTTCCCTAGCCTTCAGGACAAACTCTTCTTGAAGTGTAACCAAACTCACAGACTGGACACTGACGTGACTATCACTAGACAGGTTCAAAATTTTAGGGTTTAATTTCTACAATTTTTTAAAGGCACAATTGAAAAATGCTTTGCAAAGAAGGAAACTAAAAGAGTTAAAGTGGTCCATACCTGACTATGTGGACATCCTTTATTTCTAGGTAGGAAAGCTCAAGGAGTCTTTTCTCTCTTTCATCCATGAAGAGGATGCCGCTCCAGTTTACAGCCACGACAAACCTGCTTTTGGACAAAGGCGGACCTGTGGACAAATAAGGGAATATTCAGGAGAAGTTATGTTGCATTATAAAATATTACCTATAAAAGCTGCAGGTTGACTGACCTGCCGTCATTGTAACCTCATAAAACCTGGAGAAGTAGTGTGGCCATTTCTGTTGGATGCTGTCGACCAGTTCTCCTTTTACGCTTTCCGCACTCTGCCTCCCATTGACATAAGGACCCTGTATAATCAGCATATAAAAATTATCCAGCATCTAATGTGTATGTACAATCAAATATGCACCATAAAATTTAAAACATTTCAAAAAGAATGTATTATTTGGAATGGTTCAGGCTTCAAATATGCTGATAAAGAACAAACAGTAGCTTCTTTTTCCTCTGACTGCATGACGCTTTACCTGCAAGACTTCTGAGCTGATGAGTTGCATCCATTTTGTCATCGATTTGCTCTCAATAAGGGGGGTGGCAATGCACTCCTCAACCACCCTTTGGACGCTCTCTTTGTTGTATGCAGAACCAAACTGGATGTAATAGTGCCTCGCTGCCAGCTGGACATAGTCATCCTCCTGAGAGATAAAATCAGATTATATCTATTGGGAACTTAAATTGGGCTGTTAATAGGAAGAATTAGATTTGTTCCTAGCAATTTGTTCTGAGGGGGTCTTTTTAAAAAGTGATATAGCAGCAGGTAAAGCTATAGAAATGTAGTTTTCCCTGTCATTTCAGGAACGATGCCTATGTGGTGTACTTTTTAGTAAACGAAGCTGTGTCACTGCAGAGTCTTACCTTCTCACTGGTGTACTCTCCCAACTTGATTCCTGTGATGATTTGCCTGTAGATTAGATGAGTGCTGACTGGGTCCACTGAGCAGTCATGCCAAGGTTTGAACAGCTCCTTGCGGATGAAGAGTCTCCAGGGGGCTTTCTTCTCCTCCTGGCCCTGCCTTCTCATCTCCTGCTCGCACTGTGACACTACATCCAACACGTGCTTTCCACAGCTGCCCAGGCTCCAGATCTGCAGATGAAGGACCAATAGGGTTTGAATGAGTGTGGCTAAATTGGACTGAACCACTCTTAATTTTTTACTGTGTAAGTAAAGTTGACCTTATCATTGAAGCCGATGTACAAAGAGAATCCATAGGTGTCTTTGAGATCGATCTTGTCTGCCACAGCTTGACAGACTTCAGCTGACGTGGAGGATGAATCCAGATTTAGACTGAGAGTACGGCCGTCCGTCAGAGTCACAGGTGCATCTATGGG